TACTTATACTCTACTTATACTCTACTTATACTCTACTTATACTCTACTTATACTCTACTTATACTCTACATATACTCACATATACTACGATACTAGCTTGATAGATTTTATTTAAAGTTAGAACGGAACAACATAGTACCATCGAATGCATATCCATCCATCTATAATTCATTGAAGTCAGCAGTCTTAGGGTCTAGAAGTATCAATTTTGACTTGTTACATTTCTAATAAATTCACAATCATTTCCAACTGCCTAATATACCTCATTGAACTCAGCTATTATTGACTCTACAAACTCGAAATTTGTTTTATAAACTCTAATACATTAACAATCATTAGCCATCATTGCGGTTGCTTTATATATCTCAATGAACTCAGAGGAAACACCAAATTAGGTATACTGTGTCTTGTCAATGTAGTTTATAGAATTCTTTAAAAAAAAAAATTCCATATTTAGATCTTAAATTTTTACATAATATTTCATAGTCTTTCATACCCAACTTGGTGTTTATCGCTATGTAAAAATAATAATAAAACTGATTTGATTACGTCTACATAGTTGCTATTAAAGGTATTTCAATATACGCATTTAATATATATATGTTTACATATGTATGTATGTATCTGTCAGCTGTCTATGTAATGACTATAACAAGTTGAGCTGATAGCAGGTAAATGCCTTGTGCATGAATGAAATGCATTTGCAATAAACTAAAGACAGTTCCGACTTGGTGTTCGACTAGTTTATACCCTAACAAAGCAGCTAAAAGGTGAATGCAATGAAAGATGATGAGAGACAGAGAGAGAGAGAGAGAGAGAGAGAGAGAGAGAGAGAAAGAAAATAATAGATAGAGCTAGTATGAATCATTTAACTATTCCTCTCATTCGCTATCCGTCTCACTCACTGTTTATTACATATTAAAATCCTGATCAAATACCTTGTAGAGTGTCAAAGTCAGCTCGATATTATACAAATGCCTGTTATATTTATATTAACAAAACATAATTTACTCTATATAATCAATAAGAAAAGCCATAGCCGTATGATCCCTGCCTTGGGCTTATCAGATTTTAGACTTTCGTCGACCAAATAGCTAACCTAGCTATGAGTCTATCTCAGCATGGACACAGATTAAACAAGTGCGCATTTCAATTACATGTTTATTAATAAAGGGGGGGAAAAAAAAACTATATAATCATAGTAGTTGAGTCAAACCTCAGATCGGTATCGCTATAAAAGCGACTCGTCGAGCAGCTCCCACAAACAGTTTCGTTTGAAAAATCACAACAAGAGCAAACATGAAGGAATTGTCGTTGGCTTTAGTGCTCTCTCTGTCGTTGGCTGTAGTGCTGTCTCTGCTGGTCCTGGCAAATGGTAAGTGCCAGTCGGGCATGTCCCAATCGAATAGCCCAATTATAGTTAATTTCAATATGCATTTATTCACAGCTAATCCGCTGCATCCGGGCAATGTGATCATCAATGGCGATTGCAAAGTTTGCAACATTCGAGGCGATTAATAAATGAATAAAAATCAAAATATTATATATGTGTTTTTTTTATTTCAAAGTCAAATAATGTACAGAGTTGCGTAAACGAATTTTCTAGCTCAGCATTTTTTTCTTTATTTGACAATTTAAGTATAAAATTAAAATTGAAACTGCTTCAGCCTCCGTGCACATTGCAGTTGATGCAATGTCCATTGATGATCACATCTCCAGGTCTCAGAGGGCTTGCTAAAAAGACACAGACAGAGAGAGAGAGAGAGAGGGAGAGATTAAACAACAGTTCATAGAACTCATTCACACTCTACGTACCACTGGCCAGTGCCAAGAAACCTAGTAGAAATGCAATCGATAGAATTTTCATCTTATTCCGAGTCAACCTCGCACTGAACTGAAGCAACTGACATCACCTTTCCGACTTATATAGCTCAATAGGCAAC